GGGGGGGTTGGTTGCCATGTGTAACACAAGCAGGCATCCTATGACACCACTGTTCCTATATGATGATCAGGGTTGTCATGAATATTGATTCAGTTTTACACTTTGAAATGGAGATTTTTGTTGGCCGGGACAAGCTGAATAAGCTCGGCGTTGTAAGCGGATTACTATGGTGACGCGGTGACCCTTCTCACAGAGGAATGCTGTACACTGGAATTCTTATCTGTGTTTATGAAAGAGGGATTCCTGTATGAGCACACTGTCGGGGCCCACACACCACCGAGGGCCAACATGGGCCAGAGGATGACCAAAGAGCAGCACATGTGATGGCTATGTATGAAAATGTTGCCTGCTCTTGTTGCCCGTAGCGACGTGTGACCTCCCTCCTTTCATTTTTGCTTCCGTGGTCTGAAATAAAACAAATGTAACTGGTTGCTATGGGCAACCAGACATTTTCCTGTGAGTTCACGTCTCATACTAGGCCTCTAAGAGAAGTACAAATGAAAGTGTGTCTGGTTGCCCATAGCAACCAATCATCTTCTAACTATCACTCCTGCAGAGGAGTTACAAATGAAAGAAGGATTCTGATTGGTTGCTATGGACAAGCAGACATTTTCTGTGATTGCACATCTCATACTAGTCCTCTAAGGGGCGTAACTATGAAAAATGTGTCCTGTTGCCCATAGCAACCAATCATCACCTATGATTGCTGAATCATAGAGTTAAGCATAAGAGAAGGATTCTGATTGGTTGCTATGGACAGCCAGACATTTCCTTGTGAGCGCACATCTCATACTAGGCCTCTAAGGGGCGTAACTATGAGAATGTGTCCTGTTGCCCATAGCAACCAATCATCTCCTATGATTGCTGCATCACAGAGTTAAAAATAAGAGAAGGATTCTGATTGGTTGCTATGGACAGCCAGACATTTCCTTGTGAGCGACTGCTCATACTAGGCCTCTAAGGGGCGTAGCTAGGAAATGTGTCCTGTTGCCCATAGCAACCAATCATTTATCATTCCTGCATCACAGAGTTGAACATGAAACAAGGATTTTCTGCTGTGTCCCCATTACTTCCTGTCTCATTGACACCCAGGAAGTTACCGGAAGTACTTCCTGTTTCTGCTCTATGCATAGAGCAGAAATAAATGAGAAATTCTGGGTTTTTTTTCTTGCTCTGTCTCCACTGGAGAGATTTCTCCACTTCCTGTCCTGGTGACACCCAGATAGTTGCCGGTAATACTTCCTGTTTCTGCCCTCTGTTGCTCATCCTTCTTATAGTCCTACAGGGCATCCAGCAATCTCAGAGCGACTGATCTCCTGCAGCCTCTTTGCAGCCACTTCCTGCCTACATGCACTCCAGTGACGGCTGCATGGCATTTCTCAGGGCGGGTTTCCAGATGGTGACAACAGTGGGCCATGTGTGTGTAACGAGTGTTAAAAGGCCACATGTAGCCACTGGAAGCCTGTGTGACAGGGTGACAACACGTAACCACGATTGGGAGATAAAAACTTAGTGTGGTCACCCCATGGCAGGAAGTGGCTAATCAAGGGCTCACACCTGCCGCAAAACGTGGTGCGCAGCAGGTGTGAGTCCATGTTTAGTCACTTCCTGTTATGGGGTGACAACGCCCTGTTTTTCTCTCCCAGCCATGCTCCTGTGTTGTCACCCTGTCACACAGGGCAGCTCATTCATTTCAATGGGCCATCCAAACGCGGCGAAGAAGCTCGTGCAGCGTTTTGAGCTGCGAGCAAGCCGCGTGTCTAGGCGGGTAAAAACGCGTGTTGGCAAGGATACGCGTTTGGGGTGCCACTAACAAATGACGGCACGCCGCGACTCGATTTTGCGCGGCGCGTATGGCATGAACGAGGCCCAATGGCACCACCGCATGACTGTGCCGCCAGCAACAACTCCCGGTCACGCAGTGACAGTTGGGGGCGGGTAGGATGGGCTCTCAATCACATGATCACTGTGACAGCCAATTACGCCTCTGGCATTGCCCTCTCTTAAAGGGCCGGTGGTTAACATGTGTTGGCTCAATCGCAGGCCCCCAAAACTGTGACCGCGCCATCTGCAACAACTCCCGGTCACACAGTGACAGTTGGGGGCAAATAGGATGCGTTGTTCATCATGTGATCACTCTGACAGCCAATCACGCCTCTGGCCTTGCGTTTTCTTAAAGGGCCGGCGGTTGATATGTGCTGACACACGACAATAGGACCTGCACTATTTCTGGCCAAAGCGTATTCCTAGACGTGCGCTGAAGTCCGGCTGCCGCCCCTCATATCTGCCCTTGGAAAAAAAAAAATGGCGCCGCACCTTCGAAGCGCGTTGGCGGTGAATCCAGCCGCGCCGCTCCTTTAATTTGATGGCTGCAGATTGAAGTCTGTGATATTTCGGTGGTATTTACGGATCCCGGGCGCTCTGTTCTCTCTCTCTCCCAGGCGCCTGTTGACAAGACGAGCGCAATAACAGATTATGGGAGCCAAAATCCTGGCACGGCCACCGACGCGCGACGCGTTCCAAGCTCATTAATTTCCCTCCATCGCCAGCCTCGAAAATGTCTCCGCAGTACGCCGCGGCGGCTTCTCTGCTGACAGGTCTCTGCTTTGGTCTCCAGTTCCCTCGCGTGTCCTCTGAACCTGCCAGGAAAGGAACGCAGGGGTCGCCGTTGGTGACCACCCTGAAAATGCTGATTGGTTGGCTGCCAATGCTTTAAAGCAGGGGTAAGCCAAACTCCGGCCCTCCGGCTGTGGTGGAACTACAAATCCCATGAGGCATTGCAGGATTCTCACAGCCACAGACATGACTCCCGGAGAGAGGGGCATCATGGGATTTGTAGTTTCACCACAGCTGGAGGGCCGGAGTTTGGCTACC